GCGGGAAAACGAAAAAAAAAGAAAAAAGGAAAACAGAAACCAACAACAAACATTTTTACTCCGACTCCTGCACCACCTCACGGCGTGCGCGCTTCTTCTTTGGCGCCGCCTCCTCCGTCGTCGCCGCCGCCACCTCTGCGCCGCCCTCCGCCGCGGCCTTCGCCTCGCGCTGCCGCTTGGACCGCTTGCGGAGGATCTTCTGGTACTGCTCAAGCGCCTCGGCCATGGCGGCCATGTTCGACGGCGGTTTGTTGCCGGTGTCGAAGAAGTTCAGCCGCGCCTCCACCTGCTCACGCAGCTTCTCACCAAAGACGGCGGGAGGGGCCTCCATGAAGCAGTCAATGCGGCAGGCGAGGGCGGCCTTGTTGGCGAGGTAGCGTGAGATCTTGCCGCGATGCTCCTTCGCCGCGCGCTGAATAAAGGTGGAGTGGAAGATGAGCCCGTACTTGGGGGTGTTGCCCTTCCGCTTCTTGAGGGCGCGGAAGAGCGCCTTCTCGGCGCCGAGGATTTGGATGGTGCTGGCGGGCGCCTTTGCGAGGTTCGTCAGCGAGCCCGCCTTTGAGATGAGCTTCGCGCCGATGTTCTGCCCCATCAGCTCCGTCAGGTTTGGCGCCACGAGCATCATCTTGTCGACAAGGTACTGCTGCAGCGACTCGCGGTAGGCGCCGAGCGACGTCACCCGCTCCATGAAGGCGCGAATGTTCAGCCAATCCACCTCCGCCATGTCGCCGCCCATCGAGGTGACGGCCTTCTCGTACACGCGGGCCGCGAGGGCCTCGTCGCCGTCGAGGATGGCCGCAATCTGCTGCGTCACCTCCTCGCCATCGCGCTCCTCCAGCGTGCTGCGGCTGCCAATGAGCAGCGCGACCTTGGCGTACTTCAGTGGCTCCGGCACCTCCTTCGCCAGCTCCGGGAAGTGCCAACCATACCACTCCTTGACACGCATTCCAAGGAGGTTCACCCCCTTGTCCATGTGCTCCGCAAGGGCAGAGGACTGAATGATCATGTTGTCGCTGCGGTGCACGTTGAACTTCACCTTGTTGCGTGAGAAGGCGTGGCCGAGACCGCACTGCGCGCGAATAATGTCGCCCTCCTTGTGCTCCGGCAGCAGCTTCTCCGCGTGCAGGCGGAGGCAGCGGCTGAGCTCCGCCACATTCTCGTTGCAGACAACAGGGAACTTGAGGTCGTCGTGGATGGCGCTGCCGAGTTTGGGGTCGCACACGCCCAGCTCCCAGTTTGCCCCGTCCTTCTTCGCCTTCTTCGCGAGCACGGAGGTGAGGAAGTTGCTCAGGAAGGGGCTAACGAGGGACTCACTGATGCAGACGGCATCCTCTAGCGCGTTCTCCGGCGACTGAAAGGGGGCAAAGGACATGAGCTTCACCCAGGGGGAGAAGGTGGCAAACGCCTGCAGATCCTTCTGCAGCGCCACATCGCCGGCGCCGACCTCCTCCGTCGTGAGCACCTTGTAGACGGCGTAGCCGGTCGGGGCATCGTACAAAATGTAAAGCGTCTTGGACATTTTTTTTTGCCTGTTTGCGTGCGCCGTTTACCTCGCACACCTGCTGCTTCTGCTGCTCCCCGCGCTGGGCGTAACTCTGCGTGCGTGCGTGCGTGTTTCTCGCTGGGCTTTCCTTCACTTGGGGGGCGGTGACGGGGCCAGACACACAGACGCAAGAAGAAGAAGAAAGAAAAAAAAGACAAAAAAAAGGGAGGGACGAAAGGGAGAACTGAAGCAACCGAACGACAAGAGAGGCGCTGCACGCACGGAAAGGCGAACTGCACGACGGCAACCACCCAACGAGCGGGGGAGGAAGCCAGTGAGGGCTGAGGGGGAGGAAGGAGGGGAATGGAAGCAGCGAGGCGGTCCCCGCACGCACGTCTCAGTATCGTCATCAGCGGGAGAGAAATAGAGAGAGGAAGCAAATACATACATACATACATATATATATATATATGACGCCCTCGTCCCCTCCCCACACCGCACAGATACATACACACACGCACGCACGCACACACACAGAGGCGGAGAGGCCCCACACTCCGCATCGCTGAGAGAGCCAAGAAAGAAAGAAAGANANA